TCTTTCCACATTCCATGGACCTTTCTCTTCCACGTGATCTCCGCTAGAAGCTCCTTGTTTAATCATGCAGGTCTCCTGCCTCCTTTGCTCAATTTCTTTCTCAGGGGGATGCATTGCTCCTGAGCATAGAGGAAGTGACGTTTAAAGAGCGACCAGCACTCTTGGACCTCCCTGCCTTTGAGAAGAACAGCTTTGAAAACTGAGGAGCACAACAACAATTCACACATTTAAGGAGGAGGAATCTCCACTTCTCTCGCTTGTAGTACCTTGGTGGCCCACACCTACATATTTCATATGGCAAGAGTATAGGCTGATAACCTGCTACATTAAAGAACTTCTTAAGAGATCCTTGTACATTATTCTTGCAAAAGAATGGCTATAAAAGTGAGTTCTTTTTTTCATGTTTGACAGTGACACTGATATGAGACAAAAAGGAGTTAGTCTGCTCATGTTGTAGTTTATCTAAGTTTACAATGCGGCCAGTTCAACTGGTTAATGCTTTCCACTAAGCTCCTTTCAGTTCCATATGATGTGGGAGAAATGGCCCGTACAGATCATCAGCAAGAAATGAATGTAATACCTCTGATGCAGAATTTTCACCGTTATTTCATCGAAGCCTCAGCGCAGTCATTCACATAGCACAATACTCAGCAGTTGAACACAGGGTACTGAAAAATAATGAAAATAAGCATGGAAGGTAATTACTGTTAAGTATGCAGCATGAAATCTCGTTGCTCTGGGTGATGCAATCCTCGTTGCAACTTCTGTTTCAACTTCTGGGATTGTCCAAGTTCAGTCCCTTCTCTTCCCCTCTCTATCTGTTTCCAGAGAGATTCTGACCACCACTGAAATCACCTTGGAAAAGATAACCAAATACCAGTTCCTTCATTCTTTTGAGGGTTAAGGCTGACCTGTACAACAAGCAAGCTTCCCCCCAGACACTTCAAGCCTTGGGAAGGAGGAAGAAAAACAGCTGAAACAAAAAACTTAAGCCCTGGAATGCAGGCAATTCTCAATTATTTGCAGATGTAGGATTATCTAAGCTCCCACTCTGAAAAAACAAAATAATAAGTAGGTACACACACATATATAAATACACTGCTAGCTTGGACCCTTCAAGAAATAGTGTGTTTCCTTCCAAGAGTATTTGTTGACCTGACTAAAGTCCCTCTCTACAAGCCTTGGTTTTAGGTCACCTTGGCTATAATAGCATTATTATTAAAAACAAAAAAAACCAAACAAAAAGAACCCCAAAACACCAAAAAGCAAATACAAGACCCAAAAACCCACCATCACAAAAAAAGTGTAATTTTACAACTTTATACTACACTTATCCTCATTTTTCAGTGATAATTATATCATAGCAAGGCTTTAGATCTTAATGTAAGTATGATTGATATTATACTTTCAGGGAGATAAATAAGAAGTCACTGTGTTGAAGAAATGAGTCTTAACAAGACAGTGGAACAAAGGCATTCATTACAATAGAACTGTATTTCCTATTTATTTCTGTTAAACAAGTAGGAAGCAGCATTTTTCTGATTCCTCCTATGCGCCCAAAATGTCAGCATAACCACGTCATACAGAAAACAACAGCTGGAATATTGTCCCTGGGTAAGTGAAAACCTGCAGAACATTGTTCACGAAGTGCCCCCCGCTGGCATCTTCTTCACCTAAAACGTGTCTCTATTGTAGCCACAAACCGAAGGGTAACAACGAAAAGCATGCCTCAATTCCTACTCTCATTTCTGCTTTTACAAGAAAAAGGCACCGCTGTCAAATCTGCGAGCCCTGCAACAATCTGCAGAGAAACATTTCACAAAACCGTTTTCGTGTGTGAGAATCAATGAGGGCAAAACGGGGCAGGTAGAAACCCAACTGAGAGGTAACAACCCCTCCCGGCACCCCACCAGTTAACCCCATCCCATCACGAGCAGGAGGGGCATTTATCACCGCTCCCTTTCAGGAGAACAACGCTCTTAAATGCTTTATGACAAATGGCTGGATCCACAAGCCAGGTATTGCACGCCTCCGTGTGGAGGCTTGAAGAATACACATTCTTCCACTTCTTATTTCTGCTTGCTTTTAACAAAACATAATAATCATAAACTTCTACCCACTTGGCTGAAACTAGCAAACCCCCCAGCAGGAAAGGAAAAACCCAGCTTGGCAGACAAATGTCTCTATTAATCCCTAAACGCACACGGAATTTCCCTCCAAATTTACACTGGCTGAAAGCCAAGATGACAATCTTGCATCTTCCACCAAAGTTAAAAGATCTTCTATTACCAAAAAAAAATACTTTAAAATCTGTGTAACAACGGTTTGTACTCAGCACATTACTGTGACATTAGAGAGAATTAAAAAATTGAAAGGTATTTCTGGTGCGTGATTGTTTCTCCCTTAAAAAAACGTTATCTCTGAATGATGGAAAAAAAGAAGGGTAAAAGGACACTCTAAACTGTGATTGTTTCTGAAAATAAAAATTTGTCCTTGATTTCCCCAGTGCATATCTGTCCCCACTAGACGCCCAAGCTTCCAGCACTGACAGTATTGTATGGGCAGCTCGCTTTTTGTAACTCCCTCGAAAAACATTTCGGGCACACAGCAGGAGCAGGTTCCCCGGTTTACTCTTGTTACTACTCACAGCCCCAGCTCTCAAACAGTCAGTTATATTGAGCCCACCATTTCAGAGCATTGCTGTTATTTAGCAGATGAGATGTCACGTCAAATTCAGTGAGCTTTTCAATTTGCATAATTGATTCTAAGCATGCACTACTGTGATAATCCAGCCTGGAAACCAGCAGGTCAAGGATCCCCATAGCCACCACTGTATCTCCTTAGAAAGGTACGCGGCACATTATCAGTAGTCTTCATTATCTGGGTATCTGGATTCAAGAAAGAATGTCAGAGGACTGTAGAAAGAGGCACCATCTGGATGACCTACCAACCAACTTGCAGCAGCTGGTCGCTGCACAATACTAGCAATTTCTTCAAAAAATCACCTTTTTCCTCAGGACACCTGAATCTAAGATTCAGAATCTAAGGAAGCTTTATGTCACCACAGCTGCCCTTACTAGGACCTGCAGATACGAGAAACCCTAAATACCTGTACACAACCTGCTGCGGTGAGGGGAGCTAACGGAAGGATTTAACTCGCGGTCCCTGGCGGGAAGAGCTGAGCTCAGTTTCGATGACTCTTACAGCAGAGGAAGGTACCGTTAACACAGGCAGCAGCTGCTCTCCCTCTGCTCCGGGGATTTCAATACCATCTCTGTTCTGTGATACTTTCTTCTGTTACCAAATTTCTTTCAAAACTCCTGCAGATGTCGGAAAGACATTCATTCTAAAATGTCACTACACTTCACATGAATAATGACCTCCCATACTCTGCTAAACCTCTGTGCATAAAACTGATAATAAAAACATCCAGTTACGTGCAAGCAAAGCTTATGGAAGAAATTTCATTTGCACTGAATTACATAGTAACAGTATTTTAAATTCTTTCTTACCAACTTGATACCGAAAATTTCCTAAAGAATTTGAGGCACAAGCAAAAAAGTCTTGGGGTATGTCCAAAATCCACTTTATAAACCATGCTTGCTATCATGATGACTTGTTTTCTGTGCACGATTTCTTTGCATCAATGCTGAGAGCTTGTGATCTGCCCAAGAGATCTCTATGAAATCCTCCAAGAAAACAATGCTGTCTTTCAAGTACAAATTCAGATCTTCATAATGCTAATGTGATTTTTAGTGACAAAAAAAAAAAATCACATACTAACAGGCTCCAGAAGCAAAAACACTTATTCCATGAACACTGACTTAGCACGATGAGCATGCCCACCACGCATATTTAAGCTTCATTCCTCCTCTTTGCTCCCCCCAATTAAAAAAAAAAAAAAATAATAATTCCACGTCCCTAGCAAGTCTTCAGCCACAGACAGTATTTACCAAACCCCAACCCACTCTAAGGCTTGTAGATTTCATTTATGAAACACACAATTCTCCCTTAAAAATACGGGTTCCCTTCAGCATGTCTGTCATGTAAAAGGAACTTGTAACACAAGGTAAGGGGACAGAAAGGTGACAAATAACTTGGAAGGGGGGAAGGAGACTCTGCTGGATTCTATATGTAAAAAAATGTCTCAGAGGTGAAGAGAACTGAAAAGCAGCAAAACTGCTAGAACGTATCAACCAGTGTAAGTTATCAGAGGCAGCTGTCAAACAAAAGTGAAGGGACAAGGATGAGATAAAGGCAGAAATTAATTTATTTATACATCATTATTGCAGACATTCCATATTTCTTTGGAGAAAGCTTTATTACCCTAAAGCAGGGAAAGTGAGGGTAATTCAAGATTGTTTTTTCCATCCACTTCTAGTCATGCAACTACTTGAACATGGATATTATCCTTCAAAATTGTGCGTCACATCAGCGGATATCTTCTTCATTTCAAGACCTTTTTAGCTGTAATGGGCCAATGGATGAATTTTTCACAGTGCTAGTGTTGTGACAGTTAAGATGAATCCTGCTGCTGACTGATATTCAGAATGGCTTCTTTGTGAAAACAGGGTTATTTGAAATGGAAAAATCAAAACATTAATCTTTTAATTAACACCAAGCTAAACTTCAGATGTGGAAGATGTCTGTTCCCTTGACAGCTGATCCAGGCTTTTACTTCACAGATCCAGGCCTGAGCACACAAACCTCGAACCACACACTAATTCCTCTCTCCTCCCGTTCTTCGTCCACTACACACACTGCCACTGCGCCTGCTGTATCCCTGCAACACATCCGCCCTCAGCTTCCGAAGGGGCCTTTGGTCTCTTTTTGCCCTCACAGAAATGATTTGACCCTGGTGCACTGGGAGGACTGGTTTCAGAATACGTCCACACAGCTCGCTCCAGCTGATAAAGCTCAAGAAAATGCTCTGTCTCTCAGGCCAGACTGCTCGCACTCTGTGAGCCCTTCTGCCAGCCACCCCCTCAGAAAGGGCATGGAAAACCCTGCAGCTGGGAATCAATCAGCTTTGTATCAGCATTCCCCACACTGTGAACAGGACAAGCAGGTGAAAATGTTTCCATTGGTCCATATTATATTTGATACTACACTCTAAATTTAAACGTGTCTGGTTTTTTTATTTGCCCGTTAATTTTAGCACATTCTTCACCATGGCCCCAATGCCATCAAAGATTTTATGTAATTCTGTTTCACACATAAATGCTGGGGTAGTCACCACCTTGTTCTTCGCATCCACGTGAGCTTCGTAAAAGGGAGTTAAGGAAAACACAGCCTCTGTCTCACTTGCAGATGCTGTCTGCAAAATAAACCATCAACAAAAACTCACAATTCCGCTATCCTATAAAGAAAGCACCTTCAAATACATTACACCGTCCAGCTGTAAAGACAGCTGCAACCTGTAATCCAAGATACTAGGAGCTATTTTTGCCAGAAGTACAAACACTGCAAGAGCAATCTGTAGGAACGCTCAGAAAGACAAGAACACCTATGAAATTTACTGACTATAATCAAATGTCTCTGAGTACAGTCTGATTACAGCATTAGCCTTCACGAAAAGAAAAAAAATCTCAAAGAGAACTGACCACTGGTAACTTGTGCCAGTTTTCTGTGTAAATTCACTCAGCATTTATTGAACTACCGGGTGTCCAAGGGAGTTCCATGGCAATGTCTGAGAACAATCTTTAACTACAGAAGACAATATTTCTAATTGTGCACTGTATTACACACTATCTGCTATACACTGTATATTCCCACTAAACCGTAAGTGGAAAAGCACAGATCCTGCGTGTATCCATTACTGTAACGACACATCACTAAACAGTGTCAACACGGAAATTAACAGGAAAGGATATAGTTACTTCTTTCACACAGTGCTTTCCTCCCAGTTCTTTAATGGCTCCTGCAGTCCCAGCGTAAGGCCACTTGCCACCTTCCTCTTCTTCATGGCCCACAGTTACTTCAGCACCCGAGAGAACCTTCGCTGCCAGCACTGGTGAAATGCAGCAAAGACTGCAACAAAAGCAATTACGAGAGCAATTCTACAACAGCACTCTTTCAAAACTTGGTCAGAATTGAGAAGTTTCAAATGGACGTGGCCTTACAAATCTGAAAGACATCACAAGGCACCTTCCACTCAGCGTTTCTTAGCTGCTGCTTTGACAAACACCTATGCACACACGCATCTTAAAAAACACATTTAAAAAAAATAAGCTACCACCGATACAGAAGATGCTTTTTCTAGTTCCACCAGTAACAGCTGCACATTTCAACAAAACATATGTTGTCTCCATGCTCACACTATCAAACAAATGCCCCTCCAACTAAGATACGTACCCAATCGGTTTGCCTGCTTTGTGGAAGTCTTTCAAGACACGTTCAACTTCTCCATTCACCTTGCAGTCTTTCCCATCAACAGCAAAGGTAGATCTGCCACAATAAGAAAATTTATACATTTCTCAGTATAAACATACAAAGAGAGATGCCTGTCTGCCCTGAGACTGGCTTTCAAGGGTCATCACAAACTTAACAGCTTCTAAAAGGTGGTTGACCATCAACGCTTCAGCCAAAACAACTCACTTCTAAGGCTTTGCTACATCACAAAGTTCCTTACTTGATATAAACATCTAGAAGTAGGAATTATCAAATCAGCTTTCTAGGATTACTGAGAAGTGGAACAACAATGTTTTCAAAGAAGAAAATACCTAAGAACAAACGGAAAGTAACATTCAGGTTTCTCAAAGCCAACAAAAAGGCAGGTCAATAGGGAGATAATGAGTATTCCACACAGCTAACGCTTTTTTGTTTTCTTGAGCTAGCTGTTGTTTTATTGTTTCTAATGCAAAAGGGGACTTTCTGACAGGCAGACACAAAGAAACAGAGTAATAACACTAGGAACACCTGAAACTATTAAAGTTTTACCTTCACTTCCCTCAGTCAGGCCCAAAAAAGAATCACCACAAGGGTGGGGGAAAAAGGACTTCTCGTGCATTATCTAAACTCCAGAATTCTCACCAACACTCTTTGGAAAACTTAAAACGTGACAATGCCTATAAGAATTATGACTGGAAACCATCATGAACAGTACAACTTAACTCTCAACACTTTGAAAGGAGTCTTCCTTATTAAGTAGTGGCTACTTCTGTAATAAATAAGGCCATTTATTGCTTCCCGGTTTTATTGTGTGCATCACAGTTGATCAGAAATATTTAGTTGAGGAGTTTAATGCTTAGTTGGCACTCACAAGTTTTTAGCAGCTCCAAATCCACCAGGGAATATCACAGCATCATGGTCTGCTGTAGTGAGCTTAGCCAGACTTGCAATTTTACCACGAGCAATCCTTGCAGATTCCACTAAAACATTCCTTGAAGAACCAGAAACAAATCAATGAGATGAATTAAGCATTGGCGCACAGAAGAGCATAAAGAAAGTTCTGGCAGAGGAAGGGAGGAAGCAAGAAGAACAGTGGTACTCAATAACTGAAGCTATAGATGCTTCTGAAATACCACTACTGGGAAACACAGGCATTAAGTGACTGTATATTACCAAGTCCAGAAAACTTTTAATATTTTCTCTCCAATCAAAATACCAGCTTGCATAAAGCTACTAAAGCCAGTCAGCAAAGTGCTATAAGGGCAGTTACAGGCTGCTATTTCTGAAGTATGCCTAAGAGACTGAGGCTCAGCAGTCACAGAGAACACATCAGGCACAAACTTTACCTTGACTCAGCTTCAGCTGGTTGCCCTTTACTGTGGTCAATGACATGCATCTGAGGAACATCTGGAGCATACATCTGAACCTCAGCTCCCCCGCGACTAAGATGTACCAGTATGCTACAAAAACAGAGATAAAACATGTTGAATACCTTGTAAGAGAGGCTTTACCTGGCCTCCGAGTCTTGCTACAAACATTCCACCACCTGATTCAAAGAAGAGCAAAACCACACATCCTACCAAAGCATACTGAGCACATAGCAGCAAAACCCCTGTATGTAACAGCAAAGTGCAAAGCAGAACAGAAAGTCAGTTTGGAGGCAGGGTCAAGTAAGCTAGAGAAAAGTTTCTTTGCTCAGTGCTCTTACGCAGGCAACCAGGAAGAATAAAAACTTCCTTTCTCCCTGCAGGCCCCCAGGTGCTACGGAAGAGTCCTGTGGTTAACATACCTATGCGTACATTTAATCTAGGTCCAGGTGAAACATCTCTTAGTAATTAACACTAAGAGTTAACAATTCAACTTGAGTATTAAACAATTCTAGTGTTAGATTTAGCCCCAGGAACAGAAACTCAAAGCAATTATGAAATGAAGCCTTTACTTAGCCCTCTTGAGATTGATTCTGGAACTCTGAATTCGTGTTTCTGAAGGAAAGACAGACTGTCTCAGACTCACTGCTCTGGCACCGCATGCATTGTGCTGCATCTTTGGGCAATCACCGAGTACTGCAAGAACACAGCCTGAGCTCCCAATCATGCTGTGAGAAAACTGTGATGCTTCATCATACATCTTTCAGGTCAATTTTGATGGCCAGAGAGAGCAAAACTGAATTCAACAGACTGCTGCAATGTAAAGGAGACTTTTTTGGACCCTACAGTTTCATAAAGCAACTTACGCTGAGGCCTCATGGATTTCTGTGCCATCGTAGACACCACAACCAGACAGGACCTGCAGTAAGAAAATAAATACAGTATTTCAGGTGATACAGAACTTCCTGCAGGATCTTTCACAAGCCTTGTAAGATCTCAAAAAAAAATAACAACAACAAATCTCTTTCAACTTAGCAACAAGCTCCTTACTAAGCCAGTCAGCATCATGCTTAGCACTGGTGTCACCATTTGACATACTGCAGAACTGGCATTTCCTATTTATAGCTACCCATTGCAGACAGGTCTCAGAAATAACTAATAATTATTTATTGGCTTGTGCATTTATTCCCCAAAGTTAATAAACTGACATGATGTCCTTAGGCAGGTTTTTATTTTGCACGCAATGGGTTATTCTAGGTGTCATACCTCTATGGAGTGTGCGTACCTGTGTGAAATACCTTCCCATCCAGGTGCAAATCAAAAAGAAGAGGGACAGAAGTGCACTTCGAGGTGGCACTTAGGATAAACTATTTTACCTGCTGCTGTATTTTGCCTGAGGATCCGCATCAGAGATCAATAGCTAAATCGCTTTTAATCCAATCATGCTATATTAGCCATACTTTTCCTCAATACCATCGTAATAATACTTTCAGTTTGTTTATACACACTGGAGAATAAAAAGCACAAAGCAATCAGCTATTCTTGTGTGGGTGGAGGGAGTCTTTCACAAGCAAAAGAGACAAAAAAATTAAAAACCCCAGGAAAAAAGCCATTATAAGAACAAAACAAAACCAAAAAAATTCCAAAGGATTATCTAGTTCCTGAAAGTACATGTATGAACTCTTGTGGGGCTTTTTTTGTTTGGTTGTTTGTTTTGAAAGAAAATAATCCAGTTCAAGAGAGTCCATTTATTGACTTTACTCTCTTCTCTCCTGGTTTTATCTCAGTTTTTTGAAGCTTAAAATTTTTAATCACAGACACACGAACAGAAACTCACAACTAAAACCTGTCTTAGTTAGAAACGCCGGGCTCGAAGGGGTTTTCAGATCACAACACGCAGTCCTTTGCTCTCACAGGCATGACATCCTACCATCACTTCACCACATGAGTAAGATCCATGAATGCTCTCCTGTCCGTGTTAATCCTAACTATAATTTTGCTACTCATATTTAAGAGCTTCCTTCCACTTTCCATTTTTTATCTTTAATTTAGACTGAATAAACATATAAGAAACTGTGCTAAAGTTATATTCTTTTTAAATGCTTTTGAAACTCACTGAAGCCAAAGTACTAAAACACTGTTCTCTTCTGTTATTTCAGTACTTACTTGGTGACAAATCTGTCTTCTACCATCCTCGGAAATTTATGTCACTAATCATACACAGAATCACACACAGAATGGTAGGGGTTGGAAGGGACCTCTGTGGGTCATCTAGTCCAACCCCGCTGTCGAAGCAGGGTTACCTACAGCAGGCTGCACAGGACCTTGTCCAGGCGGGTCTTGAATATCTCCAGAGAAGGAGACCCCACAACCTCCCTGGGCAGCCTGTTCCAGGGCTCCTTCACCTCAGAGGGAAGAGTTCTTCCTCATGTTCAGAAGGAACTTCCTATCCTTCAGTTTGTGCCCATTGCCCCTTGTCCTGTCACTGGGCACCATTGAAAAGAGTCTGGTCCCATCCTCTTGACACCCACCCTTCAGATATTTGTAAGTATATATTAGGTCCCCTCGCAGCCTTCTCTTCTTCAGGCTGAACAAGCCCAGCTCCCTCAGCCTCTCCTCACAGGAGAGATGCTCCAGTCCCCTCATCATCCTCGTAGCCCTCCGCTGGACTCTGTCCAGTAGCTCCTCATCTTTCTTGAACTGGGGAGTCCAGAACTGGACACAGTACTCCAGATGGGGCCTCACTAGGGCAGAGTAGAAGGGGAAGGAGAACCTCCCTCGACCTGCTGGCCACACTCTTCTTCATGCACCCCAGGATCCCGTTAGCTTTCTTGGCAGCCAGGGCACACTGCTGGCTCATGGTCAGCTTGTTGTCCACCAGCAGTCCCAGGTCCCTCTCCACGGAGCTGCTCTCCAGCAGGTCCACCCCAACCCTGTACTGATGCATGGGGTTGTTCCTCCCCAGGTGCAGGACCCTGCTTTTGCTCTTGTTGAACCTCATCACTCTCCATTTAAAAAGCTGCGATTTGTTAAAATGACAGCATTCCTGGTAAGTTAGCTTTCAGACATGTGAGCTGGCATTGTGCCCACTCCCGAGCCAGCTCTGCCCCAGATAGATTTCTTCATGCAGGTAACACCACCTTATTTCTTTACATTTTATGCTGTCAAGACTATGCAAAGCTCGGGCTTCAAAGACTGTCCACTGAGCTCCAAAACTGTTTTTGGGCTGCTATCTACAGCCTAAATTTCCTTTTGGCAACCTGTAGCTTCTCCATCTCCTCCCTTTCCTTCGTATTTTTAACATGCTCTGCCTCCTGCCTGCAGCAGGGCATAACCCAGTTTAAATATTTCCCTGCACACTGCCAGCACCTCCCCCGATTACGCTATAAATTATCCCACATCCAGCTCTTTGTAACTCAACTCCAAGCCAACAACAACTACAAAGAGGCCAATTCCTCAGTGTTTCCCACTCCTGCTCCTCCAAGTTACTCCACTCTCAACAGCTTGGTCGTCTCCATTTCAGCTCCTTCCATGGCCTCCCAGCCGCCGCGGCCACCGGGCGCGCCCTT